AGCTATACCTGTTCTCTCTGAACCAGGTAAATGGCCCTATCATTGTTGTGGCCAAGTTTTAAGAGAATTTTCCCCATTAGCAGGGCAGAGTTAGGAACTGTGTTGCATCCTAAGCATGAAAGAGCCATTCCATCACCACTAGCCCTGTCTTCAGATCTACTCTGGAGCTTCCCACAGACCAGGCAGACTCTTAATTTTAAAGTGCTGGAAGAGGCAAGATCCCTGCACTAGAGCCCAGGAGACTGAGCAGCTTCTCCCTTAGCAGTCAGCTTGCTTTTGTAGTGGGTTCAGGGAATATTATCTGACTGCTCTCTGACAAAGGGAGCCAGGGAAAGGGAGAGTGTGTATGCTGGGTGGGCTCACAGAGAAGAATTTCTTCTGCCTGCTTTAGGCTCACATGAGAGCTGACTAATGCAGGGGCAAGTAAAACAACAGCTTCAGTAGACAGCCATGGAGGATTCCAGCATGTGAGTAGTGATTGCTTATTTATTCTCAGTATACTTGAAAATACATTAAAGCATCTGCTGCCCATTAGCCAGAAAAGGTATCTCCTTTTAAAGCAGCTTCCAATATAGCTAAATGGAAAAGTACATATAATGCTCATTCAGTGTTGATTCTCAGTGTTAGTAACTGCTTTTTAACACCAAGAATATGCAGCACTTGGAACATTACTTCAAAGTGGTTACTAAGGATCACAGCCTTAATTTTTTTTTTAATGTAAGACATAACCCCTTCTCTTTGCCCAGTGAGCATGGCATGCATTTCTTAAAAGCATTGCTTCCAACAGAGTATCTCCCAAGAGGAACTTGTCTGTTTTTCCCCCTGATGTACCTCTATGCCCAGGCATGCACATACTCTAGACCTCCTTTGTTCCTCTTCTACTACCCCTAACCACTTTTTCTAGGCCTCTCCTTTTCCTGCATTTAAGCCAATTTTCCATACAGGTTAGCCAGCCTGAGTAGTATCCATTGTCAGAGCAGGAGTTGGGCCAGGGTTCCCTGGGTTTGGAGCATGGGAAGCTTTTAGAATCCACCAAGGCCAATATTGTCTCGCTCCTGGGCTGCTGCTGCTGCTGCTGCTGCTGCTGCTACTCCTGTCAGTCATGATATTTGACCCTAAGGGGATCATTTCATACCTAAGGTGAATATGACCAAGCCTAGGAGTCCAGAGTTGGAATGATTGCCTTGGTCTCCCTTTCTGCCATCAGTGTGTGCTTTAAAAACAAAGGCACTGCCTTGAAGGAAGCTGCTTATCCACAGACAAACCAGGGCCTGGTCACCTGCATAGAAGCCTTATGGATGGCTCCTAGGCCCCCAACTCCTAGGGTCTTAACCACGAAGGATCAGTTAGAAATCTAAAGTGTGATTACTTTGTTTTTATTTTGTTTTTGCTTTTGTTTTTTAAAGGAAAGGAAAATGTGGCCCTTTTGAGGGTACTTGAAGTTTTGAGCAGTGTTTTAACCACAAAGTAGGAATTTTGATGTATTTGACTAATTAAGCAGTCTTAAAACCTTGGTATGTTTTCCTTAACTCCATTTCCAGGTAACTGAGTGCAAAAGAACTGGTTTCTCCATTGTACTCAAAACAGTAGGTAGATTTAAATTCCACTGAGTATAGACAGTGGAAAGCATATTTTCCCAAATCAACCAGGAAATCCGCTCCAGTATTTGTGTATAGATCAGCCTATGGAGGAAAAAGTGAATGTGTATTTCATGTATTTCTAGTTTGATTTACCAAACTCATTGTTATAAAGAAACCTCAGTTATCTAAACAAGATTTTTTTTTTCACTCCAGTAAAATTTCTGATGCCATCGTTGTCTGCAAGGTGTCACATTAGAGAAGTGTCCCTGGTACTGCTAATAAATACCAGGAATGTGGTGATCTTGACAGTCAGCATTCTTCTACCCCACCCCACCATTGTGCATGTGACCTTTTTCTTTTTCAGTGTTCCTCTTCTGGAGCTCTAGACCAAATTCCAGGTCATCTCTTGCACAGAAAGCCTTTAAAAGGTTTGTCAGTCTGTTAGGAATGTCTCAGGAAAATGAGCCATTTCCTTGGGGGTAGGGGGTGGAATTATATACTGACATGTGTGTGTATGTGTGTGTGTGCGTATGTATGTATGTATGTATGTATGTATGTATGTATGTATGTATGTATGTATGTATGTATGTATGTATTTCCTAACCCTGCCTACTTACAGCTCAAGCTGCTCTAAACTGTGTTTCTGAGTATTCTCTGAAGAAAACAAATGATAGATGAGTGCAGCATGCTAATCCTGGTAAAGATTCTCATTTGTCGAACAGAAAGACGAGTAACAGTAGAAAATATGTAGATGATACCAAAAAATATTCTAACTCCCAATGGAAAATAATATTAAGTCACAAATTCCCACTGGATATATTGCAAGCTATAATTTATTATATTATTATTTTGTCTATTTCTTTAACCTTTGCCCTTGTACTTTCAAGAGGGGATGTGGGGATATCGATTGCAACTTTTTTTTTACTGTAAAATGTATAAATCAGCTGTGGAAATCATTTTTTAAATTGATATTGCGTGGATGTGTCTGATTCTTGTTAAATGCCTTTTTGAGTTTTTTATCTTTTATTTTAAATATGTAATGCAATATTTTATTCATAAAACCCTGGCACTGGTCTCGAAGCTCAGCTGTGAAAATGAAACTTGTAGTATTTTTTAACATGAATGTCAATTTAAAGTGTATTTGAAATGGTTCTACCGGGATAAGGGCTTATATACCACTGGGAAAAGCTCCTCCGAGGGGGGAGTGGCTTTCTTTGGAGAACATGGGTCCTGATATCTTTGTCTCTGAATTGCCCATTTCCTAGGGCAGCAGGAGAAATACAAATGTGATCTTAAAGTACACCTCTTCCCCACTTTTGGGAGGGGAAGGGACTCAGTTTGCACCCTTTTGTATGTAAAATAAAATGTCTTACCTTTCAGGCTGGTCCTATTTAGTTTTTCTTTTCTTTCTCTCCCCCCCCCCCACTCCTTTTACCTTTCTAGGGACTAACACTGAAGCCAGGACCAGCCTTGGTGTGATTTAGGTTTTCCACTCCTCCCCAACCCTGGTGCTGCTGAGACTCTGGCATTAGTCTTTTCATTCCTTATGAGTGAAGCCTTATTCTCTTCCTGAGGTCCTATCTTACGCTTTCTCCGGATTGGGATATTACATGAGTTTCAGATCCCTTTTGTTGGTAACATCTATTAGTATAAAAATGCTGGGTTTGGGGGAGGAGGATAGGAGAAGCCAGAAGCTGGAGTGGGGAAGTGGCCGCTGCACTGAGCCATTTTTTTCTAAAGTGGAGATGAAGTCCATCTTGTGGTTTGAGAATAAGAAAAGAATTGTCCTCTGTTCCAAGAGGCTCAGCACAAATTGAATCTAGTATGAATCAAGTGGAAGAGAGGACCTTTGAACTCTGGTGTAGCTAATACATTGTAACTCCAGGTTAATAGTGTAGGAAACACTAAGTTTCACTTTTCAGGACCGTGAAAATGTAGCTACATTAGCTCAGCTACAATTTAGGAATGAGTCCAGATCTTGACAGTGCATATATCTTCCAACTATTGAAGACTGAATTAATCTCATTCTCAGTGTGGCAAGTGTGTATATCTCTCACCCATCCCCCTGCTAAATCCCCTGCAGTTTTTGACATTGTATGTATAATTCAGTCAGCAGCAATTCAATTCAGCAGACACTTGTTGAGCACCTATTTAAGTGCAAAGAACTGTGGGCTAGTTAATGGAGATAGATACAAACTCATAAAAAGAAGAGTTCCTGCCTTCAAGGAGGACTGTACTGTGCTGTTGGACCGGAGGTTGGAGTACCAGAAAAGAGGGCAACTGTCCAAAATTGAGCCAGTTGAGAAGGAAAAAAACATACACAAAACCCCCACAAAATTAGAGAACAAAAATATGTGAAAAAGTGGAAATATGGTGGAAATTCTTTGCCCTATAAAAAGGAAAGAACATTCTTCTAGGAATGCTTAATGAAGGTCAGAACAGTCATCTCGAAGCCATACCCAGGATCACTTAAGGGAGATTTTGATTTCATTCAGTTGTCATAGATTTCCAGTTCTTCAGTTTCCTCTGACCATTTCTAGGCAGGAGAGTACCTGCCAACCTGCTGCCCTGTTGAATTGATCATTAGGGAGCCGGTCGTGGAGATTAGAGACGAGGACTTTGCTAGTCATTTTACTCGCCAGAATAGCATTCTTAAGCAAAACTTCCCTGAAGGATTTAGGATACAGTGGAACGAATGTTTAATTTGCCGTCTGGATTTGAAATCCTTCTGAGACGCACATTCAAGCTGTGCCTTGGATGGTTAGTAGAAAGTCAAGGAGACGGGGTAGGGCACTGTAAGACCAGAGACGTGTGAACAAAGGTGCAGTGACGGGTGATTGAGCCTGGGGAATGGGGATGAAGACCACTGCCTGTCTTTAAATTAGACAAATGAACCCAAACGACCAATCGTCCAACATAAGCCTTCTAAGGACGTCATCTGTGTTTGAGGGAAAAGCCAGCAAGCCTAATTGCATAGGGCTTATTGGTAGTTTGGTAGCAATCCGAGGTTGGTGACAGAGGGGGTTGCTGCTTTGCATATGCAACGTGATAAATGCTTCCATCCGATCCCCCGGTAGTGTGCACGCCCAAGCCAGCAGCCTAGGGTGACTCTGGTCGCCTATGCAAGGAGGGAGGGTTCCATGCCCGCCTAGGAGTCTCCCTTTGTGCTGAGGCGTCGTCCAATCACAGTGTCTCTTTATCTCCTCTCGTCCCTCCCTGCCCAGTTATTTTTCCGATTGGTGAGTATCAGTAGAGAGCTGTCAGGGTTGGCCAGCCGGGGAGCCCAATGAACTAGTGAGAACGTGGCAGCCACCTAAGAGACCGCGTCCGCTCCGGTGCGGGCTCCGAGAGCTTTGGCTCCGCCTCTCGGAGGGATTCTCTATCTGACGCCGGCAGACGGGGGGGGATCCTGTGTCTGTGGTCCTCGAAGCCCGGGAGTGAAAACCTCTGCTCCCCCATTTCCCCTGTATTGTGGTGGCGGCCGGAGGAGGGGTGGGCACCCCGCCCCGCCCGCTTCCTGCCTCCGCGTTCCCCAGGCCGCGGCCGCGCCCGCAGGTTTGATGCTGCGTCTGACGGAGCGGAACATGAAGCTGCTCGTCGTGGCCGCCTTCGTCTTGGGCTCGGTGCTTTTTTTGCTCTTGCCGGGATTCTCCGCGGCCGACGAGAAAAAGAAGGGACCCAAAGTCACCGCCAAGGTCTGAGCCAGGCGGGGAGGCCGCGCTCCCTCATCCGGCCTCTGGAGTCCCTCCTGCCCGAGAGCGGGCGGACGGAGGCCGGGGCCCTTGTGGTGGATTCCCTCCTTCGGAGCGGGGATGGGCGGCGGGCGGCGGGCGGTGGGCGGCGGCGGCGGCGGGGGGGGTGGGAGGCTCCTTGGGGGAGGCCTAGGGAGGGAGGAGCCCCCAGGTCATGTGCGGGCTGAAGCATCCCAGGGAAACACGGACCCCGAGCTCGGGTTTTCGGAGGCCAGTTTGAGAGTAGATCCGCCTCCCCAGAGGCCCCCGGCGTGTTTGCACCCAGCCCACTAATCGTGGGGTCCCTGCCACCAGGGACGAGCAGCAACCCTCTGTACCCGTGCAAATGGCCGAACCAGGCCCCAGTCTCAGACTGAAATAGGACCAGTTTATGACATTGACCTTGCTCGTTCTCAGTGCTTCGAGAAAATGACTTAATTAATTTGGGATGATTTTTCCCCCTTCCCTGTCCCACAATTACTAACTTGCCTTTTTATTCGTAACTCCCAAGCTAGCAGATGATAGTAGACATCTTAAATTCAGAAGTTATATATAAGCACGGTTTGAAAGTGCTTTTGAGCTCTTAGGGGGCTTGTGGTTGCCTTTCCCTTCCTTACTGTAGAGCAATGGTTCCCAAACTTTTTCGGTCTCAGGACTCATTTTATACCCTCAGAAATCATTGAAGACCCCCAAAAAGCTGGTTTTTTTAAAATGTGAGTTATATATATCGGTGTTTACTATATTCAAAATTAAGATTGGTAAAATTTTAAGATATTTAAAATGACAATCCATCTATCACATGTTAACATAAATAATGTTTTATTTGCATCTGCATTGTTTATTGTAATATGTTGTTTGGGTTGAAATATATGAAGAAAATCTGGCCTCACATAGATACAGAGTTGGAAAAAGGAGTATTTTAATAGGAAATAAGGCCTTAGTATTGTTTTGAAAATAGTTTTAAGCTTGAAGAACCCCTAAAAGGGTCTCAGAAATTCCCTTTGGTCCTTCAATCATAATTTGAGAACCACTGCTGAAGAGTAACTTGGCCCTGACCTAGTGAGGCAAATAAGAGTCAAGACATTACTCTCATTCACTTATATTTGTAACCAGTGGGCACACCTTCAGTTCCCTACCAAGAACTTTGCCTCAAAGCTCAAGGAAAGAATAAAAGGGGCGAAAAGGCTAATAATGCTTATAATAATCTGTCTGTTTCAGGTATATTTTGATCTACGAATTGGTGATGAAGATGTAGGCCGAGTTGTCATCGGTCTCTTTGGGAAGACAACTCCAAAGACAGTGGACAATTTTGTGGCTTTGGCCACAGGAGAGGTAAGTGGCTGGGACTTGATCCCAGGAGAGTGATGGGCCCAAGGTTTTTAAGCTGCAAGGAAGCTAGTGCCACCTCTTTGAAGGGGGGGACATTCTAACTTATTTGCCATATTTGTTTATTGTTTATTTGCCTCCCTGGCTCTCATCATAACAAGAGAATATGATGTAAAATGAGGGACTCTTAAGTTCCTCAGCAATGCCCAGAAATAAAATTGGTCTTTCTGAGCAGTGCCAGTAGAGAAGAGTCTACCCTGGACCCTTCATAGATTGGCCTGGCAGCACTAAGCCTGCTTGCTCCTCAGCACAGCATCTAGCAACATGGGGCTGGGATTGCCTGCAAGGGGCTTCTCTACATCTGCTATGCTTGTGGACTTATTGTCTCTTGCAGATCCCTTACTTTACATCCTTTTTTTCCAGAAAGGATTTGGCTTCAAGGGCAGCAAATTTCATCGTGTGATCAAGGACTTCATGATTCAAGGTGGAGACTTCACCCGGGGTGATGGCACAGGAGGTAATATCGAACCTGAACTTTGGGTTTGGCTTCTCTGAGAAAAGAGATTGTTGCTGCTGCTCACTGTGGGAGTATTGGGCAAGATTTTGTAAAAGAGGTTATATATCTTTTTTCCCCAGTTCCCGATAGATATACACTTGCCTCCACTGGGGCCAGCCATGCTTTTTTTATCCTACAGGAATCCAGCAGGGATAGGGGAAAATGGCATAAGACTATCTCTCACAGTCAGCAGAAATGCTAATCTAGGCCTTATAGCAGCTTGCTAATTAGCTGCTTCCAGCATAGCAGATGAGTTCGATGTCTGAGTATTTCATGGAGAATCCTAGATGAATGTAGTAAATCATAAGCAGGCTTGTTTAAAAGGGGTGGGGGTTATTATTGGGGAATAGCATCAGAATTCCTGTAGAGCTAACTGAGAAGAGTATGTGACAAAGAATAGCGTTTAAGACATTCACATAGGGCGCCCCAGAATTGACACATTAGAATTATACCTCATCTTGTTATGACTGGGGGACATTTATGTATATTATAATCTCGTAGCCTAATCTTTAAAACTTAACTGTTTCCCAAGCTTTTTTAATCCCTGATGCATTTGAAAAAATTCTGTGTCTCCAAAAAGATATTTTGCATGCAATTTAAGATCTCTCTCTCTTCCCTCTCAACCACCTCTCACCCCAGAAAAAATAATCAAATTTATTGAGCATCTCCTACGGACAGTGCATGTGCTAGGCTCTCTTAGACCTTTAAAATAGTACTTATCTGAAGGAGCTTACAATCTAATTGGGAAACGACATACCACATGAAAAATTAATTTAGCTATTTTAGTAGTTGCAGAAATTATTAGATGAGCTGTGAGTATGAGATTGACAAATTATTTTTATTCACAGTAGGTATGGGGAAAGACAGTGGTGCTTAGAGAAGAAATGGGCCTTGAGTCTAGTTGAGGGGAGGGAAGATGAGGAGGGGCCCTTCATGGTGTAAACCAAAAATACAGAAGCAGTAAAAACAGTGATTGGGAGGTGAGACCAATTTGGCTAGATGGAAGGATTCATGTAATTGGAGATAAGCATCAGCAGGTATTAAGAGTCTACTATGTGCCAGGTACTGTATTTGGCATTGGGGATACAAAGACAAAAATCAAATTGCAAGCAGCTTTCATTCTGTGGGGGTGGGGTGACAAACACGTACATATACATAACAAACAACACCTCTGGGCAAGGGATGGTGAGTAGCAACTAGGAACATAGTTGAGTCATAATGCTTGTGGAGGGGAGTAGCATATGTGATTGGAAGGGTAGGAAGGGGCTGGTTTATGAAGAATCTTGAGTGTCAGAAAAGTCAGTGTTTGATTCTGAAAATAGCCTCTGGAGTTTGAGCAAGGGGATAACATGGTAAGATTTGTACTTTTGGAAAATCACTTTCATGTGATTTCTGTGTAGATGATGGAGTGGAGAGAGACTGGGTGAGAGGCTGTTGCAGTAATCAAGGCAAAAAGTGATGAGAGCTTGGACTTGGGTAGTGACTGACTTCAAGTAGAAAGGCATGGATCCAGGAGATGATGTCGAGATACAAAAGACAAAATTTGCAACTGATTGATAGGTGGTGTGGGTGAAAAGATGGCATGGAGGTTGTAATTTAGGTGTTAGAACAGGGGTGGTGCCCTTGAGAGGTAGCCAGAAGAGGTACCCTTGATCTGATTGCAGAGCTTATTAGATTGGATTGTTTTTCAATGAACAGTTGAAGAATCGTCAGTGTTTTAATCGTATAATGATCATAATCAAAGTTGTGTCTTAGGATGATTGGTGGTGTATGGATAAAACTGGAAGTAATAAGAGACTAGAGTTTTGGAAACTAATTAAGGAAGCATCTGTACTACTCCAGGTATAAAAGTAATGATTGGTTTGAAATTGCATGGTAGCATTGGGAATGAAAAAGGGAAAAATAGATTTCAAAAGCATTGCAGAAGAATAATTGACAAATATTTGTGAACATCTAGATTAAATGTCACTTTTGACACCTAACAGATGTTAAGTCATAGTTAAGTCACCTAATCTCTTACTCAGCTTCCTCATCTGTGAAATAAAGATATATTATCCTCCTCACAATATTATTTTGAAGCTTGAATGAAAATGTTGAAAGGATCTGGATTATTATTACTGTATTTTACCACATAATTGTTGCTACCATATAATCATTGCACCCTGTTTTTTCAGTCCAAAAATTGTTTTATAACCTTTCATCACATAATCACTGTGTGGTACAATTCTGTTCATCATGTCACTTAAAAGGTAAACAGAGTACCAATGTATTCACCAGTGGCATATGGATAGGCATTTATTTCTCACACATTGCAAACTTCGAGCCTAGAATTCTCAGTGCATGAGCATTGTCAGTGTTCAATTTTAGTGTGTATTCATGAATATTCCATGCATCCTAATCTTGCATCAAAGACAATTTAGTAACAAATGCTTTTTAAGTAATACCAGAACAATTAAAAAAAAAAACTTCACATAATGGTCGCACCCTACTTTTTGCAAAAAAAATAATTGGCATAAAATCTGCAACAATTATGTGGTAAAATATGGTATTTTATAAGGTCAAGAGAGAAGATAGAAACAAAGATAAGTTTTGAGACCGGGTAAATGGTGATAACCAGGAAGAGAAATTGGAAAGTTACAAGTGGCTACAGTTTGTAAAGTTTGGAACATACTGAGTGTAGAACCTCCAGATGTTCACCAGGCAGTTTAAAATGCAAAATGGGAGCTTGAAAGGTCAAGAATGAAGATACTGTCTTGGGAAGAGGATATCAAAAGCCTTTAAAACAGTTATTTAGCACCACAGTGCTTCCTGCCTGGCATTTTGCTAACATGTGAGATGAAGATGGACAATATTTCTGTCTTCATGAAGCACATAACATGGCATAGGAATACACCAACTCCAGTACACAATGGCACATGGCAAGGGTATGAGAAGTACAGACCAGCTACTGTGGGGAAGGGAAACCTAGGAGAAGGGAGCGTTTTGAATTGGAGCTCAGTGGCAGGGTAAAATTTTAACTGGCAGGTGAGGGGCTGGGATTGGCATGAGGGAGGAAGAAACATTCTAGGGTAGGGAACAAAGGCAGAGAGAGGAAAGGCCTTCTCCAGTCAATTCAGCTAGTTTGACTGCAGCAAAGTACACATGGAGTAGAGCCTGAGACAGTATGGATAAAAAAGTTTGTGTAGCACCTTGTATGGCAGAACAAGAAGTCTGAACTTATACTGGGGAAGAAGGAGCTTCTGGAGCTGAAGAGAGAGCAGGTATGTGCAGCAAGATAACATGATAGCTTTGTGTGACGGCTCGATTAGAGGAGAGACTGCCCATTTCCTTTGTTCAAATAAGTGGTGATGTGGGCTTTAGGGGATGGATTCCATAAAAATTACAGAGAAAACACTGAACCTGACAATTTATTTCGACCACCCAAATCCAACGATAAGACCAAGGTTTTCAACATAGGGTGTTGCATGAAGTGGCAGAAAATAAGGAAGTGAGAAGAAGCAGGTGACAGAAGATGGATCTATTTATTTTGTGACATATTGAATTTGTTATGTCTATATGACACTAAGAAGGAAGATCAGATTTGAAGATAAGTAATAACTGGGGGAATCATCTGCCAAGAATGGATGATAGTTGAAGCTGTGCGAATAAATAATATCTTCACAAAAGAGGAGGGCCAGTGAGAAAGACCAAGGGTGGTATTTGGTCATCCAAGCCTAGAAGATTATAAAAGTGGGAGACAGGGTGAGATTAATAATTTTTAAAGTGAGAGAGGTATAAGGGACTAGAGAAAACATCTTAGACCAGCCCCTTCATTTTTTAGGTAAGGAAACTTGAGGCTTTGATCAGTTAAGTGACTTAATCAAGGATCACACAAACAATGAATGGTGATTCCGAACATTTTTTTCCAAAATTTTTTTAACATTTTTATTTAAAGTTCTGAGTTGTAAATTCTATCCCTCCCTTCCCCCCTCCAAGACAGTAAACAATCAGATATAGTTTATACATGTGCAGTTATATAAAACATTTCCATATTAGTTATTTTGTTCAGGAAGACTTGAATTTTTAAAAATGAAAGTGAAAAATAGCATCCTTCAGTCTGTATTCAGTCAATATCAGCTCTTTCTCTGGAGGCAGATGGTATGCTTCAGCATTAGTCCTTTGAGATTTTCTTGGATCATTGTATTGCTGAGAATAGCTAAGTCATTCATGGTTCTTCATCAAACAATATTGCTGTTACTGTGTACTGTACAATGTTCTCCTGGTTCTGTTCACTTCACTTTGCATCACTTCCAATTCTAGACTTTGAACCCACATCCTCTGGTTCCAAATCCTCTTCACAACCAGGGATTGAGGAGTGTATGGATGTATGATTAAACAAATAGAAGCATTAGATATAGACTGCTTTCTTTCAAGAAGTTATGGATTTTTAAAAGTTATTAGACTTTTTTTAAATATCAGTCATTTTCCAATATTCTCCCTTTCCTGCACCAGTATGTTCCGTTATAACAAAGAAAAATCAACCATAATCAACCAACAAAGTAACTGTATCTCTTAGTGTAGGTGACAGTATCCATAGCAATCTGTTACCACCACCCCTTCTGCCTTTCCGCAGAGCAAAGAGATGTTTCTTGATCTGCCTATTAGAATGAGTACTGGGTACTGCTGTTCAGTTTCCATGTGTATTATTGTAGTCAAAGTAGTACCCTAATAGTTCAGCTTTCTTTGATCTGTATCAGTTATATCAGTTCATACAAGTCTTCCCATTTTTCTTTGAATTTCTCATTGTTTTATAGTGCAGTGATTTTTTTCATTACATTTTGTGCTATCATGTGTTTAGCCATTTTTCATTCAGCAGGAACCTTCTTAAAGCCTTCAATAAGGGAAAATTGGGGCAGCTAGGTGGTGCAGTGGATAGAACACTGGCCCTGAAGTCAGGAGGACCTGAGTTCAAATCCAGCCTCAGACCAAACACTTGACACTTACTAGCTGGGTGACCCTGGGCAAGTCACTTAACCCCGATTGCCAAAATAATAATAATAATAATAATAATGATAAGGGGAAATCGATGTAAGGAGTAGATAGGAATTAAAGGGAAAAGGGACAGTGCCAGAGTTAAAACCCACTAGGGAAAATGGAGCAATAGGCCAGGGTCACGAAGAAACGTTAGGCCCATTTATACAGCAGAACTCCTCGTTCAGTCCTCCTGGCTGTTCAATGCCAGGGTAATGGTGTAGGTAAGAAAACACATCTCTTCTCATTTCCCCCCTTCCCCTGTTTTAAATCTTAGTGTGAGATGTTTTGTTTGTTTTCCCTCTCCCTAACCTTCTAGCAGCTGAACTTAACAAAAACTTAGCAGTCTTGGTCATCTTTGCTTCCCAGCAGTCTTGGTCATCTTTGCTTCCCACCAAAGCCTTTCTCCACCTGCCTGCTCTTTGCACTGCTGTTGCTCTATACTGGAGTGTCAGGGAGGGCATGGTTTGCAGAAGTTCATCTCTTAAAGATTTCCTTGCTCCTAATTTCATTCCAAATCTTTTCTCCCATATATATGTCCTTTCTTCCTTTCATTCTCTCTTAAGCTTAATTAACAGCTTAACCCATATATTTACTGTACCTCTTATTATATTTCCATAAACATTTTGTCATTTATGTTTTTCAGTATTCAGTGAGATTTGATAATAGTTCCAGGGAAAGTAACTACTTTCTGTCCCAGTTCTTTCATATCAAGCTTGCTTTAGGTGTTCTACATATACAAAAGTGTCTCTGCCTCTTGTACCCAAGTTTCACATTTGCTTTTCCACTCTAACCCAGGCTGTGCTTTAATTTGTAGGAAAGAGCATCTATGGCGATCGCTTCCCTGATGAGAACTTTAAGCTGAAGCACTATGGTCCGGGCTGGGTGAGCATGGCCAATGCTGGCAAGGACACCAATGGCTCCCAGTTCTTCATCACCACTGTCAAAACGCCATGGCTGGATGGCAAACATGTGGTGTTTGGCAAAGTTCTAGAAGGAATGGTAGGTGGCGGGAGCTGGGCACAAGGGGCTCCATCTCCTCATTCGTTATCTTTGTGGACAAACCCAAACATGGCCATCCTTGGCCCTGCCTGGCTGGATGCTATGCTTCTATTACCATAAAGAGACTACAAGTGGGAGAAAGCAGAGTAAGACTGCCTAGGTGGAACTTAGGCCATCCTCCTGCACTGCTGGAGACATGTAGCCTTATAGCCCCTGAATTACTGTGTGAGCTGTCACTCTTGGTCGTGACTCAGATTGCTTATGTTAGCATATGCCTTGAACCCTTCTCCTTAACCTCAAACCCTGCAACCTTTGCCAGGCTCTAAGCCAACCTAGGGTATAGTATGGTGAAGAAAGAACAGATTCTTCCTCTTCTTACCAAAGTGCCTGCTTCCTCCTCTGCCTAGAAATATGGGATAATAAAGTGGTACATAGTAGGAATGTGCTGCACAAGTCACCAAAGCTTGGTAGCAGGATAATGGAAAGTTTTGGTTTAAAGCCACAACATCCATGTTCTTACTTGACCCTTTGGATAGAAGCTCAGCAGCGGCATTATTTCATTCTGTCTAGAGATCAGTTGTCTGGACTAGATCATACTGTATTTGATGACACTAACCCTGACTTCCCCTTCTTTCCCCTTCTCATTTTTTTCTTTTTTCATTTATCAGGACGTGGTACGAAAGGTGGAAAACACCAAGACAGATGGGCGGGACAAGCCCCTGAAGGATGTGACAATAGCTGACTGTGGCACAATTGAAGTGGACAAGCCTTTTGCCATTGCCAAGGAGTAGGGTCCCTTGGAGACCTGCTATATAGGCTGTGCAGGAAGCTCTCCCCTCTCTGGGGACTGAAGCCTAGTCTGGTCCCTGTTCCAGCCCTGGGCTCCTAGTACAGCCTGTGGTGCTGACATCTGACTGAGCTGACCCAGAATCCATCCTCACATTCCACAGCCCCTCAGCCCCAGTTTTGTAAAGAAACACATGCCAATAAAGAAGAAAACTTTTTTTTTTATAGAAAGCGAGTGGGCTGGGTTCATCCCTTGCCCTTAATAAGCATCTAATCTTAGCCCAACCTAGATCGCCTTCTCTCCCCCCTGAGGGAAGAGCAGGGCTTCTTTCCTATAGAACTAGGTACCTTCCTTTGCCCTTTCTCCCCTTCTCTTCTGCCCTTCGTTGGATGCCTGTGCAAGCAGAGCAGAGAGCTATTCCTGCCCTGGGCTAAACTAGACCTGGACCAGTGGCTGCTGGGCAAGAGGATACCTTCTAGTCCTCGCTCTTTCCCTTACACTGTCTAGCAACTTCACTTCCAAAGAGTGGAGCTTCTGCTTCACTGCTCAGCATCCAACCTCATTCTCACCTCCATCCTCTCACCCTGTATAATGCCTAAGCCCTTGCTTTTTTCTCACTGTGGTTCCTTTCAAAGCTCCAATATAAACAGCCCATTCTTTGTTTTCTTTGGGCTCATCCCTAAAAGAGACTCTCCTTTTATTCTGTGTTCTTCCAGTCTCGAGGGGGACAGGTGTTCGTGTCCCTCAGCATTTGCACATCAATTAGGGTTACAGTTGGAGAATTGAAGGTGGAACAGGGGCCTGCCAAACTTAATGTTAGTGCGAGTTGTGTCCTGTCAGAAGAGTTCAGCTTTGAGCTTGTGGTCTCCTTGGCCAAGGGTCAGGGTGCTGCAAGAAAGAGTGGTCTGGTTGACAGCACAGCTGGTGGGGATGATCTGTTCCCTTCAGGGCCCGGGCTGTAGTAAAGGTGGTGTGAGATAGGGGTCCTTCAGCTGGGCCATGGTGGGGCAACCACTGCAGCCATAGAAGCCCTGCAGCACACCGTTCACCACCATGTTGGGGATTGGCTCTAAAAGAGGGGGAAAAAAATCCAGGCTGAGTAGGAGGGAGCAAAGATGTTGGCTACTAATTCTGTAGTGTAAATGTGCTTACACTGCAATCCCATGTTGTCCTCTTGTCCTCTCACTATCCTTCCTGAGGAAAGCGTTTTTGTTAGCCCCAACTGAAAGGGTGAGAATCAGCTCCCAAGCAGGAGCCTACAGCAGTCTTACTCTGCTTTGAGCATCAGCCAGGCCAGATGTGGGGAGCTACAAAGGAACACCAAGTCAATCTTCTTAATCTATCCTTAATGATGATGCTCTTCACTCACTGGCTCTCAAGTTGGAACTGCTGACAGCCTCAGAAGAGGAGTCAGGCATGTGTGGTACCCCCAGGAGCCTTGGGGAGTGGAACCATGCCACCTGTGTGATGCATTCATTTAAAATGAGCCTGGTTCTAGGGACTGTGCTCACTGCTGCCACAGCTTTCTCTGGTTTAGGTCAGCTGTCAGGCCAAATGAGATGCAGGGATGTCCTCTGTTCCTGCTCGGTACCAGTACTGATCGTACAGGCTTCAGAATGACTACATCTTCACAGCTCTTGACGTTTTACTTACCTAGAGGAGGGCTTTGAACGTATGGATCCCTGTGGAAGTTCAGGACTGGTCTGTGGGATAGCTGAGCACTACAGAGAAAAGAGGTTGGTCAGATCTAACTACTCCACAAAGCCCCATTTGTGCTTGGGATTTAGGATGCCTTGAACAGGAGAGCTGGCCACCAAGAACATATGTGCAGTTGGAATAGGACCCTAGGAATCAAGGACACCAAACAAGATGCTAGGGACTTTGCATTCTTATACAGTTGCTCCAGAGAATTTATGGGAGAGTATAAAAAATTGCATAATACCAAGTATGGTATGGGGGGAAATTGTTGGCTGTAGAGGCCTCAGCTCTGTCACCTTTGTGACTGAGCAAATCACTTCTTTTTGGGTCTTGATGACCTAAGGAAGATTCCTTCAAGCTTTAAGTCTGATGCTTACGACAGGCAAGGTACCATCAGAGGGAATACCCACACTGATTGAAGCATGTAACCACAAGGGGGCAGCAGGTCCCTCAGTGAGACCGGAGTCCCTGGGCAGAGAAGCAGATCAAGGGCTAAGAGGACTCAGCTGAGCTTTCTAACTTGAATGCTGTTGCTGGGTATGAACTCACCCAGTAAACTGAAAGGAAGAAGAGGCCCATGAATGAGTGCTGCCAGCCCCTCTGAGTAGCACCTGAACCAGGAAAAGCCCCAGCAGCTCTCCGGGGAGAGGAGTCTGAGGATGGGGATAGAGACAACCAGGACAGCCTATGGCCTCTAGGGACCCCTGCTTCTAATTAAAACCAACTTATTTACTAGTTCAGCTGCTGGCGAGCTTAAGAGTGAATGGGAGGGAGGCAGCTAGGTGGTGCAGTGGATAGAACAGTGGCCCTGGATTCAGGAGGACCTGAGTTCAAATCCAGTCTCAGATACATAACACTAGCTGTGTGACCCTGGGGCAAGTCATTTAACCCCACTGCCTTAAAAAAAAAAGTGAATGGGAGGAAATTTTAAGGCTAAGAGTCCACCTGGAAGAATACCAGTGCCAGGAGTAAGAATCAGTTATGTGACAGAAGGAATATTATTTGATCAATGTTAAGAGGAGGGAGGGCAACAAAAACCACAGAAAAAGCCAGGCACAGATTTGGGCAGGTCCCCGAAGGCCAGCTTTTACCTGCCTTCTTAGGCCCCAGATCTCCACTGATGTCGTTAAGGTACTAGCTGAAGACATACCAGAGGACCCTTCTCAATTCCCACCCTTAAGCTTCCAGTATCCACTCACTCCATACTGCTGGCCTTAGGGTCTGAAGGGAAATGTCGAAGTTTCAGGAATTCCAGCACCTCCTTTGGGACTTCTTGATTGAGATACAGGACACCCTGGGAAGCACAGTCAACAGACACTTGTTAAATACTTACTGTGTACAGGATACTGTGCTAATGCATTGGAGCTAAGAAGACAATCCCTGCCCTCAAGGAACTTACATTCTAATGAGAAAGACCTAACTATATACATAATATGTTTTTAAAAAGAAAAAAACACAAAGTTATGTGAGGGCATCTGTAACTGAGGTGATGGTGTCAGAAAAACCTTTAGAAGAAGGAGGTACTTCTTTAGAAGAAGTGAGTCATGAAGGAAATCTGGAATCCCAAGAGAGGTGAGGAAGGAGTGGATTCCAGGTAAGGCTCAGACAGGAAGGACAGCCAAGTATACACAGGCACACATGCAATGCTGTGTTACTGACAGGCTACACATCGTCACAACTATGAGTACAACAGATATACATCCCTGTAGTGAAAGATACCTCACAAAAGATTTCCTATTGAGACCTGAAGTTAGTCTCTAGAAAAAAGAAGCCTTTCTCACCTGGATATATGCCTCTAATCCCTGTCTTCGCTGCTCCAGAACCTTAGGCCTCCAGTTAGGCACGCGTTTGGGGGGAAAGTCCGGCACTTTGCAAGACTTCTTAATCTGTCCAAAGCCATAAGAAACCTGCTTAGAGCTCCCAATTCTGCCAAGAACTGGGGCCCCTAGTTCCAACTCCTGTTCCCTTACTTTAACCGCAACCTCTCCAATACTTTGCCTCTTCTGGATAGGTTCCAAAGGGGAGTGGTAAATTCAGACTAAACCTTAGCCGAGTACACGGAAAGTCAGGTACAGAATAATCTAAAAAACCAGATTTTTTCATAGATTCCAGTACACCTTGATTTGCCATCACACAGGTATTCTCCCATTGTTCTCCCCCATCCCCCTTCCCCTTTCCACCCTGTGAGGGACCAGTGATTTGAAGGAAAGATGGAACTCAGATGTGTAACTTGGGCTACCAGCCCTGGGGAGGGCTGGCTTTTGCCCTAGGTAGAATAGAAATAGGTATCCCATGTTACTCAGCTCTCTCCATATCCCAGGGAACAGGCACTACCTACTTCTCACCTGTTTGTGCAGGGCATGGAATTCGCTATAGCGCCGATGAATTGTGTGCCTTCTCCCGTTGTAGAGGACCTCCACCCTGAACACCTAAAGGGAGGGGTAAACGGTAGGGAATGAGAACAAGTGAGCCACCCAAGTCCTGGCCAATTCAGGGCAAAAGTAAGCCTGTAAAGGAATGGCCAGGTAGAACTAGAGGGTCTCCACTGCTTCTCTCTTCTCTTCCTACCCCTGAGCAGCCAAAAGAAGAACCGATTCCAACCCTCTCCTAGAAGCCAATTTGAGCAGCTGAGCATCGCCCCGCACAAAGGCCCTTTCAGAACTGCCCCGGCTCTAGGGGATCTCCGAGGATACTAATACAGGACTGCTCACCTCTTCTTCCTCTCCCCCTCCTAGTAATCTAGGTCGAGGGGGCTGGGGGGGGTAGTGGTGAAGGAGTCAGATGCAATCCCCTCTGACCTCCAGGGCAAAGTTCACCAATTACAAGGTTAGAAGACTAACACAACCCCAACCCCCATCCCCCCCACCCACCCCCCGCCATTTCCCTAGTTCGCTGAGATGTAGCTAAATGCTGCTAACCTCGCTAGGGGAGGTGGGCGGGGAAAATCTCTACCTTTTGACCCCCAACCCCTGCCTCTTAATTAACATCCAGAAGAAAGATGGGAGGGGGATAAAGTCCCCAGACTTGCCTGGCAGAGGGAGAGAAACTCGACATGAAACGAGCTCGAGAGCCTCCCCACAGCTCCCGCCCAAGTCTCCCTTTCCCGTTACAGCCAATGCCCCCGCCCAGGGTTTCCTTCCGTCCCAGTATAACGAACGCTGTCGGTCTTATGCCTGACGCTTTGAAATCCCCCATCGAGGAACTCTAGGACCCGTTTTCCAGGGGGAGCACCCATCCGAACACTCACCATGTGTCCTTTCTCCAGGCTCCTCTCGGGCTCCGCTGCCTCCGGCCCCACGGAAGGAATGTGTACTTGTAGCATCCCTAACCCAAACCCGCCTTTAGCCCCGGTGCTCGGAGACTGCAGGAGCTCAGACTCCGGCTCAGGACCGACCAACGCTCGCTCCAGGGCTAGACTCAGAGATGGCCCCGCCCCGCCAGGTTCCGCCCCCACCTGGGCCCCTCCCCCTCCCCTCTCCCCGGCCCAGAGGTTCCCTTCTCTTGGCTAGAAGAAAGTGGGGCCAGCCAGCGGAAAGCTACCTAGGGCTGGAGTCTGCCTTGGGGGTGCCCAACCCTCAGCTCCAGAGAAGCTTAGGGGCATAGAGAATCGTACTCATGGGTTCCAGTCTTTTCGGTTGGATACTAGCCCAGCTGCCTAAGAGGACGCCGGGAGCGCAGATAGGCATGCCTGCCCTCTCCGAGCTTACGTTCTAACGAAGCGCCCAAACTAGAAGGAATGACTAGGGTCGGGCAATCCGAGTATGCCGAAGTTTAGAGGAGGCTGACCACACTTAACACTCCCCCCGTACTGAAAGAAATAATGCAGTATGATACAAGGAAGGGCCAGAGGCTCCAAAATCAGAGGATCTACATTCAAATCCTCGGTAAGTTATTCATTGTGACCTTTGGCCACATTTAATTAATCACTTAACTACTTGCGCCTCAAAATGAGGACCTTCCTACCCAACCAAAATCTTTGTGCAGATCTCAAGATTCCATGAATTGAGATCAACACCTAGGTAACAAGAATTATTAGTGGAAATAGGAAGCTCCGGCGTGTCAAGTGGTTCCCGACACGACTTGTACCCCCAGTGCCTTTTGAGGATTAGTGCCCTAGGGTCATTAGCTGCCCCGCCCCAATTTGTCTTAAAAGTTTATTTGAAGATATTTTTTAGTGATGCTTATTCCAGGCAGGAAAAATACTAGTTGTGGTTCTATCTCCGTTCCTGGAGAATCTTTTGCTTTCCTCTTTTTCCCCTTGCTCTTAAAATAGATGTAGATATAGATATCCTTTGTTTTTACATAACCTTTTCTTTCCCATAGTATTCCTCCCTCCACCCCCAGAAAGACATCCTTTAGAATAAAGTTTAAAGAAAGGAGGAAAAGGGAAAATGTCCACAAAACTTAATGTGTTTTAAAAAATGGCTTTATTTGCAGAATCCCTAACCCCTGGGGGGGATGTCTTCTTATCTTCCTCCTTTGGGGCCAAGATTGGGCATTATAATTCTGTAACATTGAGGTTATGTTGTTTTGCTTTTGTTCCATTGATATTGTGGTAGTTGTTTGATATAGTGTTTTCCTGGATCTGCTTATTTCATTGTTTCAGTTGGTGTAAGTCTTTCAGTGTTTCTCTGTGTTCATCGTGCTCTTCATTGCTTTTTGACCCATATGTGATATTCCATTCCATTCATGGGCCACAACTTGTTCAGCCCTTCCCCAATTCACGGGCAGCTATTTTTGTTCCCCAGCTCTATGTTACCACAGAAGATGCTGCCACAAATATTTTGTCATCGACCTTCTTGGAGAATGTTTTTCAAACCCTACACCCCATCACCTCCATGACCTCTGCCTCTGTTTCCTAAAATCTGCCCCTGAAGAAGAGTGTTCAACATTCCAACTTTGCTGTGTGCAGGTTGTGAGAGGAAGGGATGGCTCACAGAAGCTGACTTGTTCTGGGATGAGGAGTAAAAGGTAGGGAAGGGGCTAGGATTATGTCTGGAAGGTTGCATTCCCCAGTAACTTGCCAAAGAGTGTCCTTTTTACCTCCACAGTATTTCTCAAATGTTTCCCCTTCTCTCTACTTAGAGAGCTACCATGCTGGTTCTGACCCTGTCCCCTCTCACCTGTACTATTGCAACAGCTTCCTAATTAGCCTCTCAGCCCCAGGTCTCTCCTATCTCCATCCATCCTCCACACAGCTGCCAAGGTGATTTTCCTAAATAAAACATCTGACCATGTCACTACCCTAATCAAACTGCTGTGGCTCTCTGTTACCTCTAGGAACAAATATAAACTCCTTTATTTGGCATTTAAAGCCTTCACAACCTATCTGCATGCTACCTTTTCAGCGTAGTACTGCCTTTTCTACATTCTGTGGTCCAACAAAACTGGCCTTCTTGCTCTTTCTCATACATGGCACCCCATCTCCCATCTCCAAGCCTTTTCCAATCAACTTTTCCCAAGGCCTAGAATCCACTCCCTACTTCTTGGACTCCCTTAATCCCTTCAAAACTCAGCTTGAGTGCTACCAATCCCCAGTTCCTCCTGAGTCCCCCAGCTCCTCAATCTCCAAATTGCCTTTCATTTATTTTGTATGTAGTGTGTGTATGTATATAATATGCATATTATACTTACATACACACACATATATATGTATATATGTTGTCCTTTCCAATTAAATGTAAGCTCCTTGAAAGCAGAGACTTTTTTATTTTGCTCTTTGAATCCCCAGTGCCTAGCACAGGCTTGACACTGAAGAATGCTTGTTAATTGGTTGATTGAGATTTTTTCAGCCTTTTGAGATCTATTTGAGATCTATTGTTATTGTTCAGTCATTTCAATCTTCCTTCTTACTTTTTTTTTTTTTTGGCTAGGCAATGGGGTTAAGTGTTGCCCAGGGTCACACAGCTAGTAAGTGTTATGTGTCTGAGGTCACATTTGAACTCAGGTCATTCTTACTTTTCTTGGCCCTATTTAGAGTTTTCTTGGCAAAGATACTGAAGTGGTTTGCAGTTTCCTTCTCCAGCACATTTTACAGATGAAGAAACTGAGGCAAACAGGGATAAGTGACTTGCTTAGGGTCACACAGCTAGTTAAGTGTTTGAGGCTGGATTTGAACTCAGAACAGTGATTCTTCCTAACTCCAGGACTGGAGCTCTGTCTCCTGAGCCATCTAGTTGCTAACTCATTGCCTAGAGAATCTGTTTTTATTGCTTGAGTGACCAAAGAAAGTCCCCAGAAGAGCAGGCAGAAGAACGCTGTGGGCTCAGCTTCTCATTTCTTGGTGGGACTTTCAAGAGATAGATACAAAGATATGTATATAAATATATATATATATATATATATACACACACACACACACATATGTACTTATATCTATTTTAAAATAAGAACACATTTTTAATGCCAGAAGATTCCTCTCTCCAATGTAGCTAGGCATTTATTTTGTGATCAGTCAAGTTGTGTACAGGGAAGGGTCAGAGCTCTGGTGAGACTTTCCCCACAAGGGGGGAAGGATTTGCAGACCTGGATTTGGGGGGCTCTGCTGGAACCTTTGGCTAATTCTCCATATGATGCCTTTCAAAGGGCCCTCACAGTATTTAGAGTCCTTGTTATCACCTCAGTCTAACTCCACCTCATTATAGCCTGGGAAACTGAGGCCCAGGAAAGGGAAGTAAGTTTGCCTGATGTAGTAGGATCCGGAAGTCAGAACCTGAGCCCAGGGCTGTAGATCTTTCCATCGAATCTCTAGGTCAACTGCTCTACTGATTTTCCTGAGTTTGTAATGGGGCAGTCCTTCACACCCTTTGCCTTCTCTAGTTACACTGAAGCAAGAATGAGCTTGAGGTCTGTATATCCAGTCCTGAGGCCTGACCTGCTCTTGCCTTGGTCTCTTGCCCTTTTAATTCAATTCAATAAGCATTTATTAATTCCCTACTATGTGTCGGGACCTGGGCAAGCAGGGGGTGGGGTAATACTTTGCTTTTGCTCCTTTCACCATAAATGGCTCCCATACCACCAAGAGACACATTCTGCATCAGCCCCAACATCAGAATTGAACCCATTTCATTTTAAAGGGAAATGACCAATGTCAAAGAGAACTATTGGGGTTTCATTTCCTTCTTTTAAATCCTGTAGTTTCATCTTGTGGGGGCTCTGTCTGATTTCTTCCCTGAAAGAGAAGTTGGCTTGATGTAGTGGTACATACCTGTAGTCCCTCCTCCTAGCGAGACTGAGGTTCCTTGGGGAGACTGAGACTGGTGGACTGTTTGAACTCAGGAGTTCTGACCTGGAGAGGGCCCAGATTGATCAGTGTCTGTACCAAACCTCAATCAATCAGTCTTTATTGAGCATCTATGAGGTGCCAGGAACTGCTGAACACTGAGGATGTAATAGGAGGGAAAAGACAGTTCCTGCCCTCACAGTCTCATGGGGGAGAATCTGGCAGCACTATGGTGAGCCCCTGGGAGCAGGCTGCTTGAGGAGGGGCTGGAGAGCAAGTCATGCTGATCGGCTATGGCACTGATCTCATGAACAGACCTTTGCTTCCATTCTGGGTAAGGTACAGAGACCAAGTCCCGAAAGGGACAGAAACAGGGGCAGCTAGGTGCTGCAGTAGATAGAGCACTGGCCCTGGAGTCAAGAGGACCTGAATTCAAATCCAGCCTCAGATACTTTCTAGCTGTGTGACCCTGGGCAAGTCATTTAACCCTGATTTCCTCAAGAACAGTGAGAAGCGGGGGAGAGGTGAGAGAAAGAAATAGAGAGAAATGAGCAGGACTTGGAGTTAACAAAGTCCTAGGTTCAAATCCTACCCCACACATTTTTGGTGTGATTATGAGTCAGTCAACCTTGCTGATCTTCAGTTTCCTGTCTTTCAAATGACAGTACTTGACCTATAATAGCCAGCTTACAAGGTTGTTATGAGGCCCAAGTAAGATCATATACATAAAACTTATTATAGAAATGCCAGCTTTTTATTATTATCATTATGTTGATGCTGGTGGTGATTGTGCCCTGCCATATACCACAGCCCAGGCACAGGTTAGCCAGGCCCTGTCCGGCAGGTAAGGTGTGAGAATCTTAATTTGCAGGAAATTTAAAAACTTGGGTCTGTGTAATCCTTGTGGCCATGAGGTCTGGTCCCTTTCCCACCTTTTCCCCATTCCCTAATTCTGTAACCCTATGTCTATTACTCTCCCTCTTCCTCCCTAACCTCTTGCCCTTTGCCAGCAGCCGGTGGGTCAGCATCATGGAAGGCAATCACTCTGGTCGCCTTTTTGTGCTCAGTACTTTGCAAACAGCCTCCCCCTTCCCCACCCACCTCCCCCCTTTGTTAAAGTGACTTGTACTCAAATGGCGCGGCAAGATCATTAGTTACAAAGCATGTCCTCCAACCAGAGGTGTGTGTGCACTTTCCTAA